CCCTCCACATTATTTTTCCCCCCATTCATCAGCCGCTCCAAGCGTGTACAGACTTCCACACAGGCTTAGGGCTCTGCCGCCTCTGCTGGTGGGTTGACATAGGTGACAGTAACAATGGCAGAACACTTAAGCCTTTCAACAGTCTAGCCAAGTCTACAGGGAATGCTCTTTTCACCAACGCACCTTCAATTTCTGAGCACGTGCATCTGGTGCACACAGCAGCACATCCTTTACCAACACCCATGCAGCACACTTGGTGAGAAGATCTTGTCCTGGAGCGCCCGGGAGTGTACGGCTGCAGAGAACAGCACCCTCGTCCTTCCTGAACACACTGCTCCACGTCATCCCAGAATGACGCGAACACTGCAGGTGCTCCCCTTCACCCCAACCCAGAATGATGGGAGCACTGTAGGTGCTCCCCTTCACTCCAGCCCAAGAATGAGAGCACTGTAGGTGCTCCCCTTCACTCCAACCCAGAATGATGGGAGCACTGTAGGTGCTCCCCTTCACTCCAGCCCCAGAATGATGGGAGCACTGTAGGTGCTCCCCTTCACTCCAGCCCCAGAATGATGGGAGCACTGTAGGTGCTCCCCTTCACTCCAGCCCCAGAATGATGGGAGCACTGTAGGTGCTCCCCTTCACTCCAGCCCCAGAATGATGGGAGCACTGCAGGACTGCTCTTGAAGCAACTTTGTCCTGCTGCTGCTTGATGTCTTCTTTATCCGTAAAGGCCCCTTCTCATGTTTACATTTGAAACCTCTGCACTCAGCACAGGAGCAGACAAAGACACACAACAGACACAGGTTAATGGGATAGACACCGTAAGGTGGCATGACGCCATCATTTGTCCCATGAGGTACACCAGTGGTGTGAGGGGACAGTTCTGATACATTGTCTTATACAGTTCTACTCAGCTTTAGCACATGAGTTTTATAATAAACAGCTAATTTGCTACATCCATCTTCCATACCGCATGGGAAATGCTAAATCAAATTCTAAGAATGTAGCAAAATACAAAAAAAGAAAAACAAAAACTATATTGGCCTGGCTTGATTGTCGATTTTCTTTATCTATTCCACTGCCTCATACACCTTTAGTTATCACCCTGTTATATACATATGAGTTAGTCTTGGGAAAAGCTTCCAGAACTTTCTCTCCAAGTAGTCTCATACTAGCTGAGTAGGCCCATATCTTACCAGCATTCATATCTTTAAACCTCTGCTTCAGCTCGGCAGGAGTAAGGCGGTACTGGTCAAGACCATCATTCCAGTAAATTCGGTCCAGGACTTGAAGATCTCCTCCAATCAGCCAATCCCCTTGTTCCATAACCATCTAACAGGAAGCAACAGGAAATTAGTTGCTACAACAGAAGCAAGAACATTACTCTCACACAAGCTAAGTGCAGCTTCTGCAAGCTCGTCTCCATCTTAAAGGCCAACCTAGGCTTATGGACATCACTGGAATGAAAGATGCTGAAGAAGTACTGTGATATAATGTCTGAAGGAATTTCTGAAAAGCAACCAAAACCTAAGTGAATGATTATTTTTCAGTTAAAAAAAAAAAGACATTTTCCCACTGTTATTAGATGCTGGTTTACAGAAAGATTTGTAACCTGTAGGTAAACCATCTTCCATATCCTCCAATCTCAAACTTCTGACACTAATGATTACTGACAAGTGAATGAAAATCTGTCAGGCTCACTGATGAATTCACACACTCTCAAATTTTATCTGCCCTCACGCACCTTGCCCTCTATCTGGGGGTCTCACCCTCAGGACCCACTTTACGGGATGCAGCTGAGCCCACCTAAGTGAACTTCATTTTTTTCTAAAGCTCAGAACCTACTTTAAACACTAAACAACTGACAGATATTTGCCTTCAATACTGACATTTCTACACTCAATACACAAATGAGGCACTTTGGGGAGATGAATCATGTTTCTCTGATTTTCCACAAGAATACAATGTTAAGATGCCAAAAAATATTAAGTCACCTTGGTGTGGGCTCCCACTGCAGCCTACCCTGGCATCTTCCTTGTAAGAACACAGTATCTTTCCCTGCTACTACATTCCAAGAGAACAAACCTTTGCCCAACACATCCACTACTTGCATTCCAAGTTGACCCTGAGCTCAATACCTAGTGCCCAGTAAACACTGTAAATCAAGTGTTATAAGCTGGAGTATAAATACAGTTAAACACAGACTTAGCAGGCACAGCAGGGCTCTGGATTTAATGCCCAGCATCAATGATTTCAAAAAACTACAAAGAGTCACTGAACAAATATTTACATGAGCCAAAACGACAAGACCATCTGCTCATTACACTCATCTAAGAGCCAGTCTCCATTCTGCAAAACTTCACAGCCCAGAGGAACAATTAGCACACAGCCGATGGCCACGTTTCAACACAATGTTACTGTCAGATGAGTCAAGACCTTAATGTAGGGGTGGTTCTTGCATGTTGTTCCCCACTGTCTGGCACAACGCTCCTCTTTCCGGTGCTCGAAAAATTCGGGATTTCGAAGAATGGCTACCCGGCGGCCCTCATACATCAGAGCGAAGGCTGTACAGCCGTCCAGCCTCTCTTTGTCCTCATGTGTAGCTGTCAGAACTATAGGCACTGACAAGTTGATGACACCTCCTGCAGGACACAAAAGGCACAGCTTACTCAGTGGGTCTTGGTATGGTCACCTTCGTATTCAGCGACACAACAATTTAAATAACAACAACAAAAAAAAATTCTTAAAAAACTGGAGACAGTGAGGCGGCTCAGCAATTAAGGGCATTTGTCACCAAACCTCACAAAAAAAGAGTTCAATCCCTGGAACCCACATGGTGAAAAGAATGAACTGACAGATGCAAGCTGTCCTCTGTCCTCAACATGTGTGCTGTGGCATGAATGACTGCAGACGCACGGACATGAACAAACACACAACAAATGATTAATCCATTAATTCATGTAAATGTTTCTAAAGAAGCGGTGCACGGTCTCTTGAGTACCTGGGGCAAAAGAATCAGAAGAGCAACTTATTTACTCAGGAAGTTAAAGGAAGAGAAGAAAGGAGGCAGGAAGAGGAAGGGAGGCAAAGAGATGGATGGGGAAGGAGGGGGGAAGGGGAGGAGAGAGGAAGGGAACGGGAGGGGAGAGAGGTGGAGATGGGGGAGAAAGGGAGGAGACAGGGAGGAGAAGGTGGGAACCAGAGAAGAGGGAGGACGAATTAAAACAAGAGGCAAAAGAAGCAACACATATCATGTACTAATTCTCACAGTCATCCAGCTATGCTTGGGGAGAAATTTTCTATGGAACTGTAAAAGTCAAGGAAGCATCAGATGGTTACGACTATCAAAAAATACTGTAATCCCATTATATGAAGAGACCAAGAACTCTATTTCATTTAAATCTTTAAGCCAAGAAAAGTCTCAATCTTTGCTGAAAGAAGAATGACACAAGTAACTGCATTTCAAGTGGCAAGCTGATTATGTATCCTTAAGTATATTTACATGACAAAGATAATCCATTTTCTTCTTTTTATTTATTCATTTGAGGTATGTGAGTATGGGTGTGTGGCTGTGTGGGGGGGAGTGTGTGTATGCATAGGCCAGGGGAGGGTGACAGTTGTCTTCCTCTATCATTCTCCACCTTGCTCCCTTGAGACAGGGTCTCTCACTAAACTGACAGTTCAGGAAGGCTGCCTGGCCACCAAACTCCCAGGATCTGCCTGTCTCCACTCAACACTGGGGTCACAGTTATACATGGCCATGTTCAGCTTTTACATATGTACTGGGAATCTGGGACTCTGCCCCACCCTCCCTCTCATAGCAAGTGTCCTTACCCAATGAGCTATTTGCCCATCCCTCGCTTTTAAACTACATTTTTAATATAGTCAGAATCACACCAATGTCAGCTGTCACTGGCCAAGAAACAAGCAGCAATCAATAGCTCCAGTTAATCTAAACTATGTTACCAGTGAGCCTAAGGCACAGTGTCAATTCCCAGCCTGTGACACTCTACATGTTTTGTTTTCTTTTGCTTTGCTTTGCTTTCTTTGTTTTTTGAGACAGGTTCTCTCTGTATAGCCCTGGCTATCCGGGAACGGACTATATAGCCTCAAACTCACAGAGATCTTCCTTTCTCAGCCTGAGTACTAGTATTAAAGGTATGCACCGTCACATCCAGCTCTGAGTGTGTGTGTGTGTGTGTGTGTGTGTGTGTGTGTGTGTGTAAGTCACAACTACACATATGGGCTAGAAAAACAGAATACTCTTAAACTCCTATTTGGATTTATATACAGAAGAAATCTATTGTGTAGAGAGGGAAGGGAACTGAGACTGTCATGTAAATCAATCTAGTTTCTAATTCAAATAAAAAAAAGAGAAAAAAGGATAAAAAAAAGAAATCTTCTGTGTAAAGAATCATGAACTTGGATTTATATACAGAAGAAATCTATTGTGTAGAGAGGGAAGGGAACTGGGACTGTCATGTAAATCAATCTAGTTTCTAATTCAAATAAAAAAAAAGAGAAAAAAGGATGAAAAAAAAGAAATCTTCTGTGTAAAGAATCATGGAAAAAAAAAATATGGACAAGACTTTGTTGACTCCCCAAGGGAGGCCTTACCCCTCTGAGGAGTGGATGAGGGGTGAGATTTGAGAGGGGAAGTGGGAAAAGAGGAGGGAGGAGGAACTGGAGTTGGTATGTAAAATGAAAAAAAAATAAATTTTAAAAAAAGAAGAAAAAAGTCTCCCAACCAAAAAAAAAATCCCAGGACCATATGGTTTTAGCATAGAATTCTACCAGAATTTCAAAGAGTTGATATCAATATTCCTAAAATTATTCCATAAAATTTAGAAACTGAAATAACATAGCCAAATTCATTTTATGAGGCCACAGTCATTGTTATATCCAAACCTCATAAAGATTCAACAAAGAAAGAATTACAAATTTCATTCATGCACATTGATGCAAAAATACTCAAGAAAATACAAACCAAATCCAAGAATATATCAAAAGATCATGCACCATAATCAAGTAGGCTTCATCCCAGAGATCCAGGGGTATCTCAACATACCAAAGTAGTCAGTGTAATCTGTCATATATAGAAGCTGAAAGAAAAAATACAGGAATGTAGACTATCTTACCATCCAGAAGACAATCAAAATGAAGGCACTGCAAGTATTCCCTCTCTCTCATGAAGCCGTTCAAAGGAGTCGCCCAACCTTCTGCCAAAACCTGCACCCACTGCATATCCACCTAGCAAATTAGAGAGTAAATAAAAAAACACTTATTTTATGTATTTATGAACCCAAGCAGCAAAAAGTGTTATGCAAAAAAAAACAAACATGTAAACAAGGTTGTGGGTCCTCCAGGTTGAGGAACGAATAGAAACTCGTGGAGAACAAGCTTTTCTTCTAGCACATCCATAGTGTATTACCCTCACATGCATCCACCAGAGACAGCCTCGCCTAAGCCAGTGGCTCTCAAACATTAACGTCTATCAGACGTTTGGGAGGTATATTACACTACAGATTGCTAGATGGGCATGGTGGTGCAAATTTCATCGTAGCACTTGGGAGGCAGAGGAAAGCACGATCTTGGTGAGTTTAAGTACAGCCTGGTGTGTGCAGCAAGTTTCAGGTCAGGTCGGACTATAGGATGAGAGCCCGTCTCACAGCAAGCAGACAGACAAATGCATATTGCTTCACATTCAATTTCCAAGGCAGCAGAAGTTTTAAAATTCTGCAAATTTCCAGAACTGATGTCCATGAAGACCTGGAAACTACATGTCGATAGTCACTACCTTCCTTTTGTTCCT